AAACTCTTACACTGGTGGACAAATAAGAATATATTAACTACTAGACCAAAATAAATTTCTTGTATATATTGTGTAAATATTAACTTATATAAAATTTTTAGTTTAATCAAATAAATGTTATCAATTTTTATTGTTTTAATTTTATCAAATAGATCCATAACTATTTTTGTTTTTAATTTAACTTTAAAAATAATTATTATATAAATTTAACATATTTAGTATTAATTTAAATATTTACTTTATACTTGTCCACGAGTGTGAGAATTCATTCCACCTAAAAATAATTTTTAAATTTATAACATGTATCTAAAATGATAGCCTTTTGATAAATTAATAGATGACTAACAACTTTGACGGTTAATATATATAAGCACCATTTTAAGAGTTCATGTTATATTTTTAAATTTCTAATTTTACAAAATTTATCCAAAATTACGCTATTTTGATATTATATATATATATATATATATATATTAATGGTGAAAGGTGTTAGTCATACGTTAACTTATCAAAACATTGTAATTTTGAATAAATTTTGTAAATTTATCTAAGAGCACAATTTCAAGAGTTTATGTAGTATTTAAAATTTCTAATTTACAAAATTTATTTAAAATAACGTTGTTTTGATAAATTAACGGATGACCGACAACTTTGACGGTTAATATATATAAGCACGATTTTGAGAATTCATATAGCAGTTTTAAAATTTTGTTTAGTTCAGCGTGGAATATGCATTATTATAAAATTTAGAAATGAATAAGAAAGTTCATGTAATATTTTTGAATTTTTTTTTAGTTCAATGCGATAGGCACTAATATAAAATTTAGCAATGAAAAAGCACAACGGGTAAAGTTCAAATAGAAATATGTCATTTTCCTGTATATGTATGTATGAGCAATAGATGGAAACTCAATTGGTCTTCTGGACTTTTATATCTTACAAGCGTTTATTGTGCCATAAGGTTAAAGCGAAATTTTTTATTACTCTCAACCTACTATAAGATACTTCTTAGACTACTTACAATGGCCTATTGAAACTTTTAATTCAATAGTTGAAAAGCTCCAATGGAGTATTGAAAAAAAATTGAAACTTACGTGTATTCAATTACGTTGAATCAATTCAACATTGTTGAATCGCTGAAGGAAGAAGTATAGTGGACCCTCCAAAGTCATTTGTCCTTGATACACTGATCACTGAAATTTCTGATTTGTTTTTTGTTTTCTCTCAATTATTCAAAATCAATTATCTCTTAAACTTTTATTAAAAAAAAACATATTTTTGCATCAAAATTTTTCATTTTCCATACTCTATAAATAGAGACTTGTTTCATTTGATTTGGACACAAAAAATTCATCTCTTTCTACTATAATTTTTCTATTAGTCTACAAAAAATTCTTGTTTTCTTTTTCCTTTTTCATGTGAAATGAATCCCAATAACAATCGCAACACCCAAAATTCTAATAATTTTCCTTTTAACTTTCCAAATCCCAATACCTATCAATTTCCGAATCAATCTTCTAGCCATCCTCAACATTTACCAAATTATGGTTATCAACCAAATTTTTTCATGCCATCAGCCGTTCCAAACTATCCTCCAAATTATGGATCGATGATGCCACACCCATCTCAAACACCCTTTTATTCTTCTAATCCATATGGCAATGAAGTTGTTCCAAATGTTGGAGCAACTGAATTTCCTGAATTTTCTACACAAATGGCTCTAGGTGGTATGAGCGATCTTAATGAGGCGACTCCAAATGTAGAGGATTCAACTTCTACTCACCGGAAATGCCCCAAGTGGACCACTGCACAAAATTTGGTGTTACTGAGCGGGTGGATTAAATACGGAACAGATAGCGTTGTTGGCCGAAACCAGAAAGGAGACGCATATTGGGGTAAAACTGATGAGTATTGTAATGAACATTGCTCATTTGATCCTCTACATGATTTGATATCTTGCAGAAATCATTTCAACTACGTAAAAAAAATACTGGGGAAATGGATCGGTGCTTAAGATAACGCTAAGCGTTTACAACAAAGCGGGTGATCGGAAAACAATGTGTTGAAGAAAGCACATGAGCTATATTCAGGTGAAAAGAATGGGCATTTTAATTTAATGTCTGAATGGCTCGCTGTCTATGATTAACCACGTTATAGTAGCCAGGTAGGAGGAAATACTGGCTCTGGAAGCAGTAGTTCTAAGAGAGCTCACGAAAGTGATGCTAGTGATTCCAACTCTGTAGGATCCAGTGCTCTTCCAATGGGGAGAGATACAACTAAGAAAAAAGTTAAAAAGAAAGGTAAGGGTGCAGCTTTGGACGTGGTCAATGAAGATTTTATTGAATTCAAACAAATCAAGGCGAATGAGTTAGACCGGTTGGAAAAAATAGCCATGTTGCAAGAGTAGTTAAACCAAAGGCAAAAAGAGGCAACACAAAAGCAAGAAGAAGCAAACCAGTTGATGAAAGAAAAGACTCAGGCTAAGAAGATGAAGATGTGGTTGAAGCTAAGTGAAAAAAACATCTCAATGACCATAGCCAAGAGCTGTTCAAACAGATGAGCGTCGAATTATTTTGAAAGTTAATTATGATCACAAGTGGCTGTTTGTTTCATACCAGTCAATGCTTGTCTGTATCAGTCACTTCATGTTTTAATAATGCTTGTTTGTCATGTTCTATTTTAATTATGTAATATGTCTTTTTCACCTTTTATTTGGAAAATTCCTATGACTTTTATCTATCTTATCTTCTAACCACTCACCAAACTTTAGTGATGCTATCAAGTGCCCGTGACTTTCATCAATCTTATCTTCCAACCATTCACCATGCTTCAATAATGATGTCAAGTGTCTGTGACTTTCATCAATCTTATCCTCCAACCACTCATCATGCTTTCATAATGTCATCAAATGCCCGTGACTTTCATCAATTTTATTGGTAACATTTTCCTATAAATGAGAACTCATTCTTTCATTTATATATCAATCAAATAAATCTCAACTTACTAAACAATCTCAATGGATCCATCAGAATTCGATTTCGATATCGAAGCTTACAAAAGGTAGTCTGAAATTGAAGAGAGGTATATCCTCAACAATTTTAGTGAGCGTCAACAAAAAATAGAGCAAGATTACTCATCTAGTAAAAAGAGAAGATACTTCAAGAGAGATTATGCAGCTGCAAATCAAAGGCTGATTGACGACTACTCTTCCAATCAACCTACATATGATGATGCAATGTTTCTCGACGATTCCGGATGCGAAAACATGTTTTCCTCTGGATTGTTGAGGATCCATCAAGAAGTGACGACTACTTCAACCAACGATTTGATGCAGCTAATAAAGAATGTATATCTCCATTAGCAAAATGTACCACGGCCATGCGAATGTTGGCATATGGTGTTGCAGTCGACGCGGTGGATGAATACATAAAAATTGGAGGTACTACAGCTTTGGAGTGCTTGCGTAGATTCTGTAAGGGAATCATACAATTGTATGAGTAAGTGTATCTCAGAGCCCCAACTCAAGATGACCTGCAAAGAATTTTGCATGTTAGTGAAAAACGAGGGTTTCCAGGGATGATTGGGAGTATTGATTGTATGCACTGGAATGGAAAAATTGTACTACAGCGTGGGAAGGACAATTTACTCGGGGAGATAAAGGAACCACCATTGGTATTCTTGAAGCAGTATCATCCCATGATCTATGGATCTGGCATGCCTTTTTTGGATGTCCCGACACATTAAACGACATAAATGTTCTAGATCGTTCACCAGTGTTCGATGATGTTGAACAAGGAAATATTCCACGAGTGAACTTCTTCGAACCAACGTCCATATAATATGGCGTATTATCTAGCTGACGGTATCTTATCCTTCTTATCCTACTTTCATAAAATCGATTAGGCTTCCTCAAAGTGAACCGGACAAGTTATTTGCACAAGTTCAGGAGGGTTGCCGAAAGGACATCTAACGTGCATTCGGAGTGTTGCAGGCTTGATTTAAAATCATTCGTGAACCAACTCACATGTGGAACATTTCTGATTTGGCTATTATAATGAGGTCATGTATCATATTTCATAATATGATTGTTGAAGATGAATGAGATACATATGCTCAACAATGGACCGACTATGCTCAACAAGGTCTAATACACCACAACCATTTTCGACTGAAGTGCAACCTGCATTTGAAAATGATGTACGTGCTAGATCGGAATTGCGTGATCCCAGTGTACATCATGAAGTGCAAGCTGATTTAGTCAAAAACATATGGGAAAAAATTGGAAGGTTCCGTGGTTGAAGATATTTTAAGCTTATTAATTGAGTTTATTGTACTAATTAAGCTATGTGTGTTTTCTTATTTATGTTATGCTTTATTGATGTATTGTATTGTATTTTATTTTCTCGTAATTTTATTAATATTAATAAAATTTCAGTTTATTTTTGTCTTTAATATTTAATTTTATATTATTTTTTAAAGTAAAAAATAAAAATTTAAAACATTTTTTGATTATAAAATATTATAATTTGATTTTATTCAATAATAGTTAATATATAATTATAAAATATATTTAAGAAACGTATTTAAAAACAATTGTAGGGTCGAATATTGAATAAAATTCAACAAACTATTGTAAATGGGTGCATGTTGAATTATTAGATAAAAGAGAGAAGATGATGTGAAAGACAAAGTATATGATGTGGAGGGTGTTGAATTTTTGAACCATTGTTGATAGCATTATGCTTCAAGGCTTTACATATTATTCAATCATTTCCATAATATAAGATGTTTAGTTTAAAAACACAAAATTAAAAAAAAAAAAAAATAGTAATATTATCAATAATATAAATTAATTTATTATAAATATTATGATAAAATATTAATTTATACCAGTTTCCAAAACGAGCATTCTTCGGGTTTTTTCGGTCGGATTCATGCTCAGATTCGGGTATCGGGTAAAATGCGAGCGTAACATAGATGTTTCTGTTACTGGGTAGGTATTCTGGCCCGATTGGTCGACCCGAAGCACATGGCTATAAAATCCGACAAGCAGATCTATTCATCAGTCACTCTCAATAAACCTTTTATTGACTTCAGTGTTCTATTCATCACTCACTCTCAATAAATCTTAAAAGGATGAGCTCTCAAATCTGCAGATCTGCTTCCAGAGCAGCAAGGTCCCTTCTTTCCTCATCAAAGAATGCTCGTTTATTCTCCGGTTAGTTTAATCTTCTCTCTGTCTCTCTGTTTGATTTCAACATTCATTTCGTGTCTCTATAGATCTGTCATGAATTTGCACTTTTGGTATTTCTGTTCTTAGATTTACTTGATCGATTGACTCTAATTAGTTTGCAAAGATTGATTCAATGATTATTTGATCTGATGGATTCATTGAACAATCTGGATTTCTAATGTTGTTTCGTACGTTAATTTCTCAGAAGGACGAGCCATTGGTGCAGCAGTAGCGGTTACTGCATCAGAAAAGATCCCTCTCTATGCATCTAACTTTGGAAGATCATCAAGTTCTGGTGCTGCTTCAAAGAGTTGGATCACTGGACTCTTGGCTCTTCCTGCTGCAGGTTTACCCACATTTTTTGATTATTATGCAGCCAAATCGTTGTTTTAATCACTAGAAATAGTATAAAGTTTGAAACTCTCACCACTCTTATTAGCTCACCGATGACATATGTTTTCTTTTATTGTTGCTGTTATAGCCTACATGGTTCAAGATCAGGAGGTTCTTGCTGCTGAGGTAATAATAATTACATAGTTCAGATAGAATGTCATATCCCTTTTCTCTGTTTCATTTCGTTTTTTTTTTATGTTCTTGATCGCTGAATGTTTCTGTGCAAATCAGATGGAACGCACGTTCATCGCTATCAAGCCTGATGGAGGGCAACGAGGACTGGTAATTTTTTAAAAAAATATCGATTCTTACTTAGTCTTGATTGGTTTTATCTTGTATATGTTTTGTTTCTTATTCATATGTGTGTGAATCTTAACTCATGGACCAACAGATATCAGAGATTGTTTCTCGATTCGAACGCAAAGGATTCAAGCTTGTTGGTATCAAGGTCGTTGTTCCTTCCAAAGATTTCGCGCAGAAGCATTACCATGATCTTAAGGAAAGGCCTTTCTTCAATGGCTTGTGTGACTTCCTTAGCTCTGGTCCTGTTATTGCCATGGTAATAAGAAAATCTCTCTCTTTAATAACAAACTCAAAAGAGAAGAAAAAAATAAGATTCACATGATATTGACTTGTGTAGGTATGGGAAGGAGATGGTGTGATCAGATACGGACGTAAACTGATTGGAGCCACCGATCCTCAAAAATCTGAGCCTGGGACAATCCGAGGAGATCTTGCAGTTGTTGTTGGGAGGTATGTCGTGGATTCTCCTTTTTTTCTTTTTTTTTGGTATTCGTATTAGGACATCACAACATCTGGTAACTGAAATGTGGAATTACATCAGGAACATAATACATGGAAGTGATGGACCAGAGACTGCAAAAGATGAGATCAATCTGTGGTTTAAGCCTCAAGAACTCGTCTCTTACACCAATAACGCTGAGAAATGGATCTATGGCGACAACTAAACCCCCTCTTTTCTCTAGTGCTTTTTATTTTATTTTCCCCTACCAAAACAAGAAACAGTTATTGCAGATAGAAACAAATTTCCGGTTTTGATTTAACCCGGCAAACTCAGTAACGAATAATAATTATGGGATGATTTGGGTTTTGAAGTTCTTGTTGGACCTGAATACTAAATACAAAATATTTTCAGTTACGGTTTCGCAAATGTACATGCGTGGTAGCTAGCTGTTGATTTATATAATAAACATAGTAACATGCATTGTTTTGAAGGCTTCACAACTGCTCCTCCTCTTCAACTAACAAATATAAAAAAAGCAAAACAAGAGTAAGTTGAGTAACACAAATCCCACTAAATAGGAAAAGATAGCAAGGGTGCGCTGGATCAGATATTTTGAAGCAGCTTGCCGGGGAGTCCAATTTTTGCCGGCAACGTTAGTCGAGAATGAATGCCATGAAAGTAACAAACAGCATGGTTCCAATGATTAAAGGGAATGCCAAGATAAAGACGGCGTCACGCCCCTAATTATGAAAGACAATTGGTCATCATAAGTCGGTAAGTATAGTTAGGTGTGGTGCTAACATAGCGATACTTAAAGCGGCCGTTGAAGCATAGATGATGAGTTTCCACATGGGGAGTCCAACTGATGCAGCACCAGTTGTGATCTCTAAGATCACAGCTTCACAACCACTTAAAGATATTTACTTTTCTTATTAAATTTTATTTCCTTTTCTTTTAATTTCCTTTTCCTTTAAGTTTTCTTATTCACGTTTTGATTACGTTTAGGAATATATGACTCATATGTGAGCTTATATATAGAGAGGCTTTCTATTGTTTTTAACTACAATACAATTAATAAAGATTTCGGTTTTCTAAAAGAGTTCTAAACGAACACTGCGAAGAGTATTCGCAACCCTAAAGAGTTCTAACGAACACTACGAAGAGTATTCGCGCCTTTACTATCGTTACTTCGCCTGCAAGTTAGGTTTATAGCTTCCGCTCTCTATCAGTTGGTATCAGAGCCAGAACGTTTCGGGAAAGAATTTCTTGTTTTCAATGGCAAAGAAAGCATGAGTTACTAGCGGTGATAATCGGGATAACACTCCAGAGGAAGTCGCAACAGATCAGGCTGAATTACAAACCCTAATTGAGATGCAAACAACAACTCAAGCTTCCATTCAACAACTCGGCGAAACAGTGGGAACTCTCGCGACTCACATCGAAGCCTTGACAATCGCATTAACAGCTCGTCTAGATCCTTTACTCCAACCGGCGGCTCGTGCACCACCACCACAACTCGATCTCCCCGCCCCACCCACTTACCAACAACGTACGCTCCCACAGCCACAACACCAGAAAAACCTTCCTCCGCTACAACAACATCAATGGCATCTCCCGGCACTGCAGCGACAACAACAACAACATCACCAACGATACATTCATAGAGACGACGACGTCGCACAACCAAATCATTCTGATGACGAGGAAGAGCTACATCGCCAACTCTACTTTCAGGACTTACAACATCATGATAACTATAATTCTCGTTGGGAAAATAGCTTTAAAGTCGATATACCAGAATTCCATGGTGGCCTTCAAGGCGATGATCTCATCGATTGGTTAAGCATGATATACCAGAATATCAGTCGAAGAAATCCTTGAGTTTAAGCAAGTCCCTCCAGCATGACGTGTCTCCCTAGCCGCTATGCATTTCCGAGGACATGCCGCAACATGGTGGAAACAACTTAAAACTACTCGCTCACGAACCGGAAAAGCTCCGATTCAATCATGGGAGAAACTCACTAAACACCTCCGGCAGACCTTCTTGCCACACAATTATGAGCGTACTATGTATAAAAAATTGTAAAACCTTCGGCAAGGTAATCGCAGTGTTGACGACTACGCAGAAAAATTTGCTTTGTTACTCACTCGTAACGAGATCAACGACACTCAAGTTCAGCTCGTATCTCGTTTCATTGGAGGTTTACAACCCCAACTACAAAACGCGATGGTGCAGTTTGACCCGTCGACGATCGGTGAAGCTCATCGGCGAGCAGCTTCTTTTGAGCAACAGTCTCGATCATCTAGTTGGTCCCATTCAGCAAATCGAGCTCGTACTCAGGAACAAACGGGAACCAGTACTTCAGCAACGAAAGAGCCAAGCGATGCTATACCCTCGGTTCAAAAAACATCAGCCCCAGACGAACAACAAGTACATCGCTCAACTCGACCAAATGCCCTCCGTTGCTTCTCTTGCGGAGAACAGGGTCACCGACAAACGGCTTTCCCTCACGCAACTCGTCGGGGAATACTTGTTGACGATACACTCGACAGTCAAGATGTCTATGATTCTCAAGACGAAGACAATAGTAACGATGACAATGTCCATCCCGCAACTGGTGATCAGGGACACCTACTTGTTCTTCACCGCACTTGCCTCACACCACGTAAACACGATGATAAGTGGCTTCGTACGAATATTTTTCGTTCTACTTGCACCATCAAAGATCGTGTGTGAAGCTTTGTGATTGATTCGGGGAGTAGCATAAATGTTATTTCTGAATACGCCATTGTTAAGCTTGGCATAGAACGCGAAACACATCCATCACCATACTCTCTCGGATGGCTTCACGAGGGGACAAAAGTACGGATTACTCAGCGGGCCCTAGTCTCCTTTTCAGTAGGTCCTTATTACAAGGATCGCATCTACTGTGATATTGCGACTAGACATCAGTCACCTACTTTTGGGACGTCCTTGGGAATATGATCGGAAAGTCATTCATTACGGCACCGATAATACTTATCAATTCACTTGGGATACACATAAGATACTTCTCCTACCATCAAAGGAACCAATGCTACCAATTCCGTCAGCCCAAGTGGACACTTGGCCTATCACTTCCTCCAAACAAGTTTCATTAATTTTCTCGTATGAGACCTTTCGCTCGGAGTTACAAACAGAGGGTCGAGTTTTTGAATTACTCCAGTCGCCAGCAACTCATCTCCCAACACCACCACTCCACAAAGACATTACCACTGTTTTGGAAGAATTCCGCAATGTCTTTCCTAAAGAACTTCCGACCGGATTACCACCATTACATGATATTCAACATCAGATTGATTTAGTACCAGGAGCAACTCTTCCTAACCGAACTCATTATAGAATGAGTCCTGATGAACATGAAGAACTCCGCCGGAAAGTCGAAGATCTCCTCCGTAAAGGACACATACGCGAGAGTCTTTCTCCTTGTGCAGTCCCAAAACTTCTTATCCCTAAAAAAGATGGGACATGGCGTATGTGTTTTGACAGCCGGGCCATTAATAAAATTACAGTTTGTTATCGCTTTCCCATTCCACGACTAGACGACTTGTTAGATCAGATTGGTACGGTGTCCATATTTTCAAAAATTGATCTCAAGAGTGGATATCATCAGATTCGGATCAAGCCTGGCGATGAATGGAAAACAACTTTTAAGACGCGAGAAGGATTGTTCGAGTGGCTTGTTATGCCTTTCGGTCTCTCCAACGCCCCTAGTACGTTCATGCGTATCATGAACCAATCCCTGCGCCCATTTATTGCAAATTTGTTGTCTTTTACTTTGACGACATACTTATTTTCAGTTCATCAATGGCGGAACATGTCACACATATTCGTGAGGTCTTGCAAGTGCTTCAAAAAGAAAAGATTTTTGGCGCACACCAAAAATGTGAATTCAGCGTCTCAAAGGTCCTTTTTTTAGGATTCGTCGTCTCTTCTTCTGGTTTATCAATGGATCAAGGAAAGGTGGAAGCTGTTCGATCATGGCCGCTGCCTAAGACAGTCTCTGAAGTCCGAAGCTTTCATGGTCTCGCATCCTTCTACCAACCACTTTAGTTCTATCATGGCGCCAATCACTAGCTGTATGAAGGATGCTAAGTTTCAATGGACACCAGAAGCAACTGCAGCTTTCAAACTCATCAAAACCAAGCTCACGACGGCTCCAATTCTCATTTTACCGACTTTTATGCAACTTTTGAGCTTCATAGTGATGCTTCGAAGCTCGGTAGTGGAGAAGTTGTCAGTCAACAAGGGCGACCCATTGCTTATTATAGTGAGAAATTGGCCAGTGCACGTTGCCGTTACAACACATATGACATTGAGTTCTATGCTATCGTTCAAGCAATCAAACATTGGCGACACTATTTAATACAGCGTGAGTTCATTTTGTTCACCGATCATGATGCTTTGTGTCACCTCGATAGTCAAGCCAAGGTTTCTTCTCAGCATGCGTCTTGGATCGCTTATTACAACAATTTACATTCTCAATACGTCACCAATCGGGTAAAACCAACAATTTACATTCTCAATACGTCACCAATCAGCTAAAACCAACTGCTTGGCCTATGCCTTAAGCCGACGCCACAGTCTCATCACATCAATCCATGCGACAGTTCCGGGTTTTGCTGCGTTAGCTGAGCTTTACTCTCAAGACTGTTTCTTCAAACGATTATTTGCGGTCGCTGAGGCTGGAACTTCTGGCGACTACACTTTACAAGATGAGTTCCTATTTAAAGATGTGCATCTTTGCGTTCCCGAATCCAGCCTTCATTTAAAAATCATTCAGGATCTCCATAATGAGGGACACATCGGTCGTGATAGAACGCTACAATTAGCAACTGCATCATATTTCTGGCCCTCCATGCGTCGTGATGTCGAAAAATTTGTTGAGCGATGTCGGACTTGCCAACTTTCGAAAGGCCAGGCGTCCAGTGCTGGGTTATATATTCCATTACCCATTCCTACTCAGCCATGGGCCGATGTTAGTATGCATTTTGTGTTGGGACTTCCTCGCACTCAAAATGGAAACGATTCTATTTTTGTTGTTGTCGATCGGTTCTCCAAAATGGCCCATTTTATTCATGGTAAGAAGTCTACTGATGCGGTTAGCATTGCTGTGCTCTTCTTCCAGGAAGTCTATCGTCTTCATGGCCTTCCGACGTCCATAGTGTCCGACCGTGATACAAGGTTTCTCAGCCACTTTTGGCGTTCTTTGTGGAGGTTTTTGGGTACAAGTTTGGATATGAGTACTGCGTATCATCCACAAACTGATGGTCAAACGAAGGTCACAAATCATCCTCTTGGGAATTTACTACGCTGTTTGGTCGGCGACAATATCAAGTCTTGGGATGCCAAATTTGGACAGGCCGAGTTTGCTCATAATCGTGCCTTAAATAGGAGTTTGGGCTATTGTCCGTTTCAGGTCGTCTACGGAATAAT